TAGGAAAGAAAAAGCAGCAGTTCCCTGTTGCAGTTCAGGCACAGTTATGAGCATGGCATTGATGAATCAGTCCATTTACAATAATGTTTCTACTGTGCATAAGAAAAGGTTTTGATGTCCCCCTTTTGGGAATGGCCTGAAGACACTTTAGTCAGTAGTGCCGCCCCTGGGGGTATTGTTGTTGTTTAATGTTCAAATTCAAAATTGTATATTATATTTAATTTATTTATTTTTCTATTTGCCATTAAACCAGGTCTGGGATGTAAGTTGACCCTTGCTTGAATCAATGTAAGTCCTCTTGACCAAAGCCGTAGCAAGAACCTTCATGATAAGAGCAGTAAAACAGCCACTCCGACAGTGTTGAGCAACGCTGAGGAAACGGTTGTTGTTGTTGTTGTTGTTGTTGTTGTTGTTGTTGTTGTTGTTGTTGTTGTTGTTGTTGTTGTTGTTGTTGTTGTTGTTGTTATTATTTTGTTTTTGTTTTGGGGGTGGAGGGGTTATGTTCAAAATGGTATTTAATTTATGTATTTTTCTATCGGTCATTTAAAGAACAATAATGCTAGAGAGCAGCCTTAGAAACAACCAGGCTGAGAAGCGCCAACGACGAAAGGAAAACAGAGGAAATACTGAGCTTTGTTCCACCTCTCTGACATGCAAGCACTGCGACAGAATCTGCGCTTCAAACATAGGAAGAATTAGCCAGGAAAGAAGCTGCATTAAGACAGCCTTAAGACCATCTTAAGCTAAATTGGCCGTCTGCATAGACGAAAAGAGCTATGCATTGATCATTAAATCACCGGCACTCCCACACCCGTCGCGCACACACCCACACCCACACCCACACACACACACACACACACACACACACACATACACACACAAACACATACAAACAAACACATGCACACGCGCAGATATTAATTTGTACGCAATGATTAATAGAAAGATAACCCTGATTCAAAGGAAAACACTCACTGCCAGATACGAATAACACAAGGAAAATTCCCGTCAAAGCTTGGTAAACGTTCGTTCCCTCCATGTTTATACTTTACAACTTAATGATTCCTCTGGCTGGTAAACGAAATATTATATAATCTTATCGTAAACCTTTGGTCTGTTCTGTGAGATAAGACATGTCTGAATCCCAGGTCTTGTGCGTCTTGTTCTATGTTCTTGAGTTACGTCATCAACGATAGATAGATAGATAGATAGATAGATAGATAGATAGATAGATAGATAGATAGATAGATAGATAGATAGATAGATGGATGGGTGGATGGATGGATAAATAGATAGATAGATAGATAGATAGATAGATAGATAGATAGATAGATAGATAGATAGATAGATAGATAGATAGATAGATAAGAGAGTCTCT